TGTGTATGTGTGTGTATATATATATATGCACACGTATTATATCTGTACACATGCATGCATACATACTACATGCACACATGCAGTACATACATACATACATACATACATACATACATACCTACATACGTACATACGTACATACATACATACATACATACATACATACATATATATATACATATACATATATACATATATATATATATACATATATACATATGTACATACTATATACATATACACACATAAAGATATATATATATATATATCACAGTCTACGATGGTCCAAGCCTTGGCCGAGGTCACAGGAAGTCGCAAACGCTTTGGGGTCCTCGGAAGGCGCGCGCGCCTGGAGACTCTGACCTTCCCCAACGAGGAGCGCCTTGGTGCAAGCTTTAAAGAATTTTCAATCACGATCATGACAAGTATATACATATACATATACATGTATACATATATATACATATAGAGAGAGAGAGAGAGATCTAGATTTACAAGTATATATACATACAATAGTTTACGTATTTGTTTGGGGGGGGGGCTTTTGGCTGAGAGTTGAGCACCATGTTCCGGCGTAGTCGCTGCTACGTGGCTATCGCCCGTGCTGAGTGATGAGAGGCTCGTATGTTGGAGAGCTGAGGTGGCACAAATGCTGCTGCTTGACTTCATCGCATGGCTTAGACAACGCCCTTCCCTTTCATCGTCACATGTTTTGGGACTGTTGGGTTTCTAGGACCAACCAGAATCACATCATAGTCATCATGTCGACGTACGAGGCATGGTCAACGATGGAAAGCAGATGTTGTGCCGCTCTTTCGCACTGTTTGCTGTGTTCGGTTCCAGTGCAAACGAAGGCTGCGTTGCCAGCAGGATCTTTATCCTTGCATTTGCTGCATGCCATGCGTTTGCTGTCGGGAGGTCAAGCCGCCTTAGACGAAGACTTAGGTGAAGATGTGAAGGCAATGCCTCCCTCTGAGATCGTCAATCAGCACCATGGAATGTTGCTGCCTTAGCTTGCCAGAAGATGGAGCGCAGCACAGGCACCCTGCTGGAGTTGTCCCGAAACACAGAGGTGCGGCACTCATGCCTGCATGGGCGCTGACGAACGGTGTCTGCATGTCGATCATCAAGAGGCAACCTAGCGGAGATTGTGGGGCAAAACGTGTCTTGAGACTTGCGGAGCTGGCCTACTGGTCTGAAAAGCCAGAGGCAAAGGCACCGCAAAAAAGCCAAGAATTCTTGCTGTTGTACAGATTCCAGGCAGTAGGTGGTACTGATCTCATGGTTTATATACTATCCAAGGAAGAGCTCACACAGCCGAAGAAGGGGCAATGCCCTGGAGATTCTTGGATTCTAAAGCTGCGCCCATCCCCAAAAAACAAGTTCGCAACTTGCAGCCTTTGCCTGAATGTGCGTGTGGATTTGCAGCAGCTGCAAGCTGAGAACTGCCATGACGACTGCATCCGGTCCTCTGAAAGGCTGGAGTGCATCCATGTAGGCCAGGTCCCTGGCAGTTTCCCAGCATTCGGGTGCTATAGGGGATACCTACTGTCGGGTTTAGAGTTTAGGGACAGGCTTCTTTCTTCTCTCTTTGCCCGCTAAAGACACTAAGGCGAGATCACCCAAGAAGCTGGCACTGAAGGGCACAATGCTCAATTCGCCGCGCGGCGGGCAGTCAAAGGGCAAAACCACGGGGAGCCCTCCTCTTTGGCATATGTCGGCTCTGCAACTCCGAGGTGCGAGGCGACTTCAAGCAGCCAGAAAAGTATGAATCTCGTCTCAGACGTATCATCAGTCACAGTGCCGGTGCAACAACCATCGCTGAAGTACTGATGTTTCAGGAAGTCTTCTCCATGTCCATGCCGGCAGTGCCATGGCTCACGCAGCCAGACTCAGCCCAGTTCCGAAGGCCCCGCCTTTGCTTCTCCGTTTGCTTCAGCCTTCGTCGGAGATTTGAGCCACTTCCTGTGGGCAGGACCGCGCGCCGAAAGTCATGGGAGCGATTCCTGAGAAGCTGAGGTAAAAAAAGAGACCGTGCGCGGCCTGATGCTTGCTGTAGCTGCAGTCAGGGGCCCGACGACTCCGCAATGACGACTCCAAGGGTTTGGCCACAATGTCGGTCATGCAGCAACAAGCATCGCAGAAAAATCATCAGCATACCGGAAACGGTTGTTTAACATATCTATGTCAGAGGCCACCTTACATCGCCTGTTGCCCTGCTACTGTGCTGGTTTTGGCGGGTGCTGTCGGTAAGTTGGTTCTGCCCTGCGTTGGGCACCACCATGTGGGTTTGTCTGGTGGAAGGAGCGGACGGCGGAAAGCTTGGGCCTTAGCAATTTGCCAGCCATCTGTGTCTGGCCCTTCACGTGCGAGGGGCCTAGAGTCTAGAGGCGCAATATATAAATCGAAATCGCAGCCAGAGAAATGCACAGCTTCCGATCTCGTTGCCGAGAGCCGCCCAGATTCAAGAGATCGGATATAGGTCAATGCTGGTGGTGCTATCCTTTCAGCCCTAAAGCATCTGGCCGACGTAACCGAGGCCGCATCCAGCTCCAGGCCAGTTCTATCGCGTGGCCCGTTTTTTTTCTTCCGCTCCCGTTTCGCTTGTCTCAACCTTGTCCGCAACATCAAGTTCACACAGTAGCACATGCGCCACAAGAGGGCATATGCCAGGAAGTAAGGAAGGCAGGAACTGGCATCTTTCGGAGTGGTGCCTTGAGCATTCTCGGGTGAGGCGTAGAAGATCCGAATCCGCGTCCAACAGGAAGAGGCATCGGCACTGCCTTGCACTTACACTGCTTTAGTATCTGGTATGTGCATTGTTATACTTATACATATATATATAGATTTGTCTCTCTCTCTCTCTCTCTCTCTCTCTCTCTCTCTCTCTCGCTCGCTCTCTCCTCCCCCACACACACACACAGAGATATACATATATATATATATGTATATGTATGTAAACATACAATTACACAAACAGAAATAGACACATGAGTCACACGCACACACACACAGACACACACACACACAAACACACACACACACACACACACACACACACACCCCCACACCCACACACACCAACACCCACACCCACACCCACACACACACACACACGCACACACACGCGCACACACGCGCACACACGCGCACACACACACACACACACCCGCACCCACACGCACACGCACTCGCACTCGCACGCAGACGCGCACGCGCACACGC